GACCTGAGAGCGAAACTCCACACTTTGGGGAGGTTATCACAGGGGAATTTGCTCCAGGCTCAGCAGCGTCAGCAGTGCCTGTATAACAGAGAGAGGAGCTAGACTCAGGCAATTTTCACCGGGAGACAAAGTGCTTGTAATACTCCCTTCTTCTAGCTCAAAGTTACTCGCCAAATGGCGACCCTTTGTGGTCACACGGCGAGTGGGAGACGTTGACTATGAGGTCGCACGGTCGGACAGGGGAGGGGCCACGCAGATTTATCACCTCAACCTCCTTAAAGCATGGAGGGAGGCTGAATCTGCTTCTCTGGTGAGCCTGGTTAAGGAGAGAGATGAGTTGGGGCCGGAGGTGCCAAATTCTGTCATTCCCGCCACCCTGCATTGTGATGACCATCTTACACAGACTCAGAGAGCGGAATGTTGCCACGTTGCAACAGCGCTTTGCGGATGTGTTCTCCCTCCTGCCCGGCCGAACGTCTCTCATTGAGCATCATTTTGAAACGCAGCCTGGCGTGATGGCGAGTTCACGGCCCTACAGGCTCCCTGAACACAAAAGGCAAATCATTCAGAGGGAATTGGCTGAAATGCTGAAGATGGGAGTAATAGAAGAGTCGCACAGCCTGGTGTAGCCCCATTGCTCTCGTGGTAAGGAAGGATGGGTGTATACGGTTCTGTGTCGACTATCGCAAAGTGAATGAGGTGTCACAGTTTGATGCTTATCCCAAGCTCCTGGACTGGTTAGGCACGGCCCATTTTTTCACGACACGGGATTTAACCAAGGGCTACTGGCAGATTCCCTTGTCTGCAGAGTCCAAGGAGAAAACGGCCTTCTCCACTCCATATAGTTTGTACCAGTTCGTCACGCCTCCGTGGACTGGGTGCTGGGTCTGCACGCTGCGTATGCTGCCGCCTACTTGGATGACGTGATCATCCACAGCGACACCTGGGCGGAGCATGTGCAGCGGGTGGCCGCAGTTCTGGAGTCCCTGAGGCAAGCGGGGCTGACAGCCAACCCGAAGAAGTGTGCGATTGGACAGAGGGATGTTCAGTATTTGGGGTACCACTTGGGAGGCGGGAAGGTGCATCCACAGTCCGAGCGGGAGAGGTGGTACAGCACTGTGGAGAAAGAGTGCTTGGTTATCTGGTGGGTGGTCGACTCCCTTCACTATTATCTCCTGGGGTGCTCATTCACCCTATGCTCAGACCATGCCTCCACCGCATGAAGGATGCCAACGCCCGGATCACCCGGTGGTATCTGGCTTTACAGCCCTTTAACTTCAAGGTGGTCCCAAGGTCGGGGGCGCAGATGGCTGTGCCTGATTTCCTCTCCCGCTCGCAGGGAGGGGGGGGGGGGGAGTAGGTTCGGCCGGACGGCTCCCCGGCCTCAGTTGGGCGGTGGGGGTTTGTGGCGGAGGTGTGGTCCCTGGCGTAGCTGCAGGGGAGGGGTGGAGCGGTGAGCTCAGGGGGTGGTACCGGGAGGCAGGTGAGCCACAGGTGGTGGCGATTGTGTCATGAGTGTCTTCCTTCTGTGTGTCTATATAGTGACGGCAGAGTCGAGCGGGAGGCTGGCTGGACCGGAACAAGCTGTCACGGTGCATTATTATGATAAATAAAAAACACTCTATCGTGAGCAAAAACAATGTGTGTGTGTGTGTGTGTGTGTGTGAGTGTGTGGGTCGCATACATCACACACCCTAATTTAACATCACCGTGGTAGGAATTAGAATCCTACCACCTGCTTTCCTCGCCGATTAATTTGTTTTAACTCATCATGCAGCACTCTCGACGGCGCGCCATGAGTATGCTTTGCTTCATTGATCGGAAAAGTGGAGGATTGGTTGCCGATCATGATTTTGCATGACACTGGAGCCGCACAGGCCACTGAGGGGTATTTTACCTTTTACTGATGACTCTTTCTGTGATTCGGATGCTCTTGTCTGAGGAGTTAAAATGGATGTTTTGTGAGTGCCACTACATAGTGTGATTCTTGAATCTCCGCTCGTTTCTGGTTCAGTAATGGTTTGGGTGCGGGATTGTTTGCCAGTACCCAGAGATGTGATGATTCTGGGGAATGACTTAGCGAAGAGGAAAGTGTTTTCTACTCTGAGAGTGACTGAGAATCCTGTGGCTGATGCTTCGTTATCTGACCCTGGTGCTGAGTGCTCATGCTCTCTTTTTCCTGCTTGTGCTGTAACTCTCGTACACAAGCGCAAGTCTGGAAACGTTGATTTGTCTGATTCTTTTCTCTGTGCTGGTGGTGAGCTGAATCTAAAACCTGTGGCGAGTCTGAGACAATGCTGTCTACTAGCCCATCACAGACCTCTCAACTGCCTCTGGAAGTTAACAAAAAGGATTTTGTTTTGGCACACCACAGTGACATGACTTTCGTGGGTTGTTTTTCAGCTGCCAACTCTAGTGACCAGTACCCTTGTGTTTATTGTGTTGAGAATGATGTGTTAATGCGTACATGATATCGGCCTGCATCTGGTGATCTAGGCTGGAATGTGTCCAAACAGGTTCTGGTGCCTCAACAGTATAGACACAAAGTTCTTAGTCTTGCCCATGACAACTTTTCTAGACATTTAGGTATTAGGAAAACCTACCACCTCATTCTGCAACATTTCTTTTGGCCAGAATTTAAGACTGATGTTGCTAAGTATTGTCATTCTTGTCACACCTGTCTAATTAGCGGTAAGCCTAACCAAACCATTCCACCCGCTCGTTACACCCTATTCCAGTTTTAGGGGAACCGTTCGAGCAAATCCTCATCGAATGTGTTGGTCCACTTCCTAAAACAAAACCGTTTTGGGTTGCCGAAATCTGCCCAAACGGACCAAGGCTCTAATTTCATGTCTGAGATTTTTGCTCAAGTTTTCTGACCACTTGCTATTATACATCATAAGTCTACTGCATATCATCCAAAGTCACAAGGAGCAGGCGAACGTTTTCACCAGACATTAAAATCTATGATACTGAAGTTTTGCCTTGAGTCTGGAAAGGAATGATGAGGGGTTGCCGCTTCTTTTTTAGCGGTAAGGGAAAGCGTGCAGGAGTCGCTAGGATTAGCCCTGCTGAGCTGCTGTTTGGTCACACAGTACGTGGCCTGTTGCGACTACTCAAGGAGAAGTTTGTGTCCAACACAGATGCTCCGAAAGAAAATGTGTTGGGTTATGTCAGGGTCCTGGGTCTGAGTGACCATGCCTCCTAGTGCCTAAAGCGGATAAAACCTAGCGGTTTTGTATGGATTTTCAGAAGGTGAACAGCGTGACCAAACCTGACTCCTATCCTCTTCCCAGAATGGAAGATTATGTCGATAGGGTCGGTTCTGCAAAGTTTGTTACTAAGCTTGACTTGTTGAAGGGCTATTGGCAAGTTCCTCTAACATTACGTGCGGGCGACAGCTCTGCTTTTGTTACTCCTGACCATTTTCTTCAGTACACTGTCATGCCTTTCGGGTTGTGCAACTCCCCCGCCACATTCCAATGCCTTATGAATATTGTGCTGGGAAGCGTTCGCAATTGTGAAGTGCATTTGGATTATATTGTCATCTATTCAGACACCTGGTCAGAGCATATGGAAACACTTACTGATATGTTCCATCGCTTGGAAAGGGCATTCCTCAGTCTCGCCAAGTGTTAGTTTGGCAAAGCCACTGTGACGTATCTAAGGAAGCATGTAGGTCAGGGGCACGTGGGTCTTATTTTGGTGAAAATCCAGGCCATACTAGATTTTCCTGCCCCTCGTAATAGGCATGGGCTCCACCGTTTTCTTGGCATGATGGGCTGCTACCGGGGTTTCTATCGAAATTTTGTGGAAGTGGTCGCACCCCTCACTAGCCTCCCTAGTGTGTTAAAACCTTTTGTAGGGTCCTCTGCATGTCAGAGTATGCTGTTAAAACTCTCCTTTGCAGTGTGCCAGTGTTGGCTGCCCCTGATATTGCACGATCTTTTAAATTAGAGGTAGATGCCAGTGCCAAAGAAGGTGCTATATTGTTATAGGAAGATTAACATGGTGTGGCTCACCCAATCAGCTATTTCTCAAACAAAATTCAATGTCCATCAGCAAAGGTATAGGACGATTGAAAAAGAGGCCCATTCCCTGCTGTTCGCGTTGCAGCATCTTGAGTTGTATGTCGGTTCCAGCCCCTCCCCTGTGATCGTTTATACTGACCACAATCCCCCTGGTGTTCCTAATGTGAATGCAGAACTCGAACCAAAGACTTATAAGATGGTCTTTCTTGATGCAAGATTTCAACCTGGAAATTCGCCATAAATAGGGTACAGAGAATGTATTAGAATGTATCAAAACATCTACAAAGGAGACGTTTTGATTTTGGGAAGGGGGTTGTTACGGCCTGTGGCAATAAGACGTCTGTGTGAGTTGCTTTGCTGTGTCCCTTTACTTTAAGAATCTCTGCAGGTCCTTCCTCTAATGAAGAGCTGTTAGCTGCTGATTGGACTATGGGGCACGTGACTGGGTTCAAAAAGCCGCTCTGTCAGCTGCCTGGAGAAAGAGAAAATCGACGAGTGCGAGAGAAAGCAGTTTTGATAGGAGACACGGACCTGGCCTTTGTTTCCATATTCTTGTGTTGCTTTGTATATGTCTAAACGTGCTCTGTGAGAGCTGCCACTTGTGTGTATAAACTCAGTGCTTATGCCTGCATAGGTAAAAGCTGAAGGGGTGAGCCGCCTTTTCTTTTGAACTGTTTTTCTTCCGTTTCTGCGCTAGGAAGCAAAGGATAGTTATTGTCATTTTGTTTATTTTGTTTCGTTCTTAGGGTTTAGTTAGTTTTCTCTGGCAGGACTTAATTGGTTTTGTTTATTATTTTGGCCTGGGTTCACTCCTATACTAATAAGACCTTCCTTGGATCGTGATGCTGCTTTCAGAACAGCGGTTCTACTCTGAGCTCCTCCTAGATGGCTGAACTCCTCACCCTATCTCTAAGGGAGAGACCAGCCACCCTGCAATTAAACCATCATAAAAAAAATCTGAGAGCTCACCTTGCTGAGCAGTTGGATCGAATGACAATGACAGATGCAGTGCAGAGGAGAGAGTGGGATCCATGGTCTGGAGGTATCTGATCATTTTCCTGCTGGCTTCGTCTCCTTTTTTCTTCACCTTGTCAATCAAGTCACGAGCCTTATCTACTCTGAGTTTGTTTTCCTGAAGTACTGATTCTTTCTCCAAATCATTGAACACACCATCGCATGCCAGAGCATCAAGGAGCTGTTTAAGGAGTTCTTCTGATACCCTTCTCAAAAATTCCATACGAATCCTGTCAAGCTCCTTCTCTACAGGAAAAAGTAAGAGACAAATTGAATAATCCATTCTAACCTGTTGCAACATACAAAGAAGAGATACATTAGACATACATATACAATATATGTGAGACTAACAGAGGGAAGAGAATCATAACCCCTGTGTGTGTTTCTGGGAATTAACACATGGAAACGGTGTGACTTTCTTTTTTAAATTGTTACTGAGCTTGTTAGATAATTACAGTTAAAATATGTGGTGTGGTGTGCAGTTAAATTGATTACGGGATGTAATTCTAGTTCTATGTTTGGATATGAATGTGTGACCTAGGTTTTTTTACCCTCCTGTTATGTTCCCGGGACATGTTGAGCTATCCAAACGTGTCAGAAACCCCAAAATTCAAAACAACAACAACAATTTTTTGAGTTTCATATTAAACATGTACTTTAATGTTTTTATTTCATTTTTATTTGAACTGCCAAGTAATAGGAGAGTTAAACACTGAATGCTTCACAGCAGCAGTTGGCCACCTCAGAAATATACTGAGAGATAAAACATGGAAAAGAAGGTCAGACTTCATATGCTTGTATCCAAGAAACCTCTAAAATTAATAAGCTCCTACCTGATGATGAAGCTGACAAAGTTGCTGTAGCTGCATGACCTGGGTCCAGCTGCTGCTCTGCTTCACACGTCTCCATCTTTGATGTAAAAAACAAAACACAAGAGGACATTTTGAGGTGGAGGAAAAGAGTAAATCAGGTTCAGTGTTAGGGGTGGGTTTAAGCACTGTGGCTAGGTTAAGCCCTATTTTATCTCACCCTGAACTAGAGATAGCTATACATTAGGGGTGCAATAATACTCGTATCGATATTGAACCGTTCGATACAGTGCTTTCGGTTCGGTACGCATATGTATCAAACAATACAATTTTTAAAATTTTATTTTATCAACTTTTCTTCTGACGATGCTGTCTGTGTTGAGAGCTCAGTGGATCTGCGTTCAACTACTCCGCCTAGGCTGCACTGTCGAGTGCAGATCCACTGAGCACAGCGCAAGCTAGCGAGACAGAAGCTAAGCTCGTTGCAACATAGCAACTGCCTCAACGCTACCCGAAAATGAACCTCCCCCATCCTCATTCAGATCTGGCGTTTGGAACTATCTTGGTTTTTATGTGAAGCACGACCCTGATAGTAAGCGTGTCATGGACAAAAGTAAAACAGTATGTCGGATGTGCCACGCAATGCTCAATTGGTGGGAACTAGTGCATTAGCACAGTTAGCTTGTTAACGTGTTGACGCCGTCCAGCCCCATGCATGGGGCGATCCGCGGTAACTCGTTAACAGAGATTTGCCGCATTATGGCGTTAATGTCATTTTAACGAGATTAACGCTGACAGCACTAGAGGCAACACAATGAATATGACTGCACATTTACACCAACATCATCCTAGTGCAAAGACAAGTGGAAGCAGACAAAAACAACAAGCACGCATGCTACAAACTTTACCCGTGTCATTTAGACAGCCGTTAGAACATGATTCTCCTTATGGGGACCTGATATGTTTAATATGCTGCTGAGAATATACCGCAGAAGAAGCATATAGTATAGCTTTTATTTTGGAAAGAGACATTTCTCTGTAATAAACTCTCTTTTCCAAAGATGAGTGATTTCTCGATCAGAAATATATTTTTTTATTATTATTTTGTTGTTTCAGCAACATTAAATTTAAAAACTGTACTTTTGAGTTAAAATATATATTTATAGTTTTAATAAATGACAAATTAAAAAGGCATGAACATTTTTTGTATCAAAAAAATATCGAACCGTGACACCAAAGTATCGAACCGAACCGAACCGTGAATTTTGTGTATCGTTGCACCCCTACTATACATGCATTTATTTCCTCATGCTTAGACTATTGTAACTCTTTGTTTATGTTCTCTGGATCATTTGCAGGTTTTGCAAAACGCTGCAGCTAGGCTGTTGACAAAATCCTCCAAGTATTCACATGTGACACCATTGCTATTTCAGCTACACTGGCTTCCTGTCTTGACATTTAGAGCCTTGCATGGACTGGCACCACCCTACATCTCCGATCTGTTACAGCCCTATGTCCCTAGCAGGTCCCTGAGGTCATCTGATCAGAGCTTACTTGCTATAATGCTGGGCTTACACTGTGCGATTTTTGGCCCATTTTGAGCTGATTTTTGAGTCGTGCTACCATTTTGGTGACCGGACTGATTTTAGCCTTCATTGTGCGTCATGCATTGTATAGTATACGTGGGGTAACGAGAAGCGATTAAAAGCTCACGACCAGCTCCCGATCATTAATCGCTTTGAAATCCTCACGACCCTCGTGAGGGTGTCACCGCAGCCGCTCACACTGCACGCACGCAAACACATAAACGTCGGTGAAAAAGACAGAGCAGCACGGCAGTGCAGCATGATCTGGACACAAGTGATGGAGGCACAACTTGTAGAACTTTGGCAAGCTTATCCAAGCCTTTTCGATGTGGCCTCACAAAATTATCACGACCACAACAACCATGAAAATAGTTGGATTTACATTGCTGCACAGCTGCCTGATCAATTGGTGTGTGTTACCTGGCTTCATGGATAGATAGAGCTGCGTGTCATCTGCATAGCAGTGAAAATTTATGCTATGTCTTCTAATAGTCTAAAGGTCCTGGCACCGAACCCTGTGGAACACTATAATTGACCTTAGTGTGTGAAGAGGACTCTCCATTTACATGTACAAATTGGAGTCTATTAGATAGATATGATACAAAGATAGATATGATACAGTGTATGCCCAGCTTTAAACAGACTAAGATGAGAACTAAGGGTTTTTAAATAACAACTCAAAACTCACTCTTTTAAAACTCTTTTTGGTTAAATTTTTGCTTGTTTTATATTGGCTGTTTTACCTTTTTATTATTTGTTGTCGTATGTGCAGCACTTTGTGATTCTGTCTAGAAATTCAATTCAATTCAATTCAATTCAATTCAATTTTATTTATATAGCGCCAAATCACAACAAAAGTCGCCTCAAGGCGCTTCATAAGGTGATATATAAATAACATTTTATTTAGGGCAGCCCTGGCAGAGTCCATCAACTACCAGGAACGAAACTCTTGCAATACTTTTGTAAGGATTGAATGACCCAAAGCAATGGGGCCATACACCCTCCTGGAGCACCTTCCACAGGGACTTCCAAGGGACACGGTCGAATGCCTTCTCCAAGTCCACAAAACACATGTAGATTGGTTGGGCAAAATCCCTCAAGTATCCTTGAGAAGATAATGAGCTCATCCAATATTCCACGACCAGGACGAAAACCACATTGTTAGATTTGTATTGTTGATTGTCATTTATGCTTAGAAATATCTACTCATATATGCTTAGAGTTTTATAATTAGTTGTAGATTGATAGAGGTTTGACCCTTAGTAGTCTGTGGAGACTCTGTGTGCCTCCCAGAGCGCTCTGGCATGCACACACAACTTAAGGTCAGGAGAGAGGTTATATCTGCTCTTACTGATTTATGGTATAGGGGGATACCTACTCTGTATCTGGTTAAGTATAAGAGCGTTTTGTTTAGATGGACCGCTAGACTCCTGGCACCAGCTTTGGGGAGTCTTCACAGGTTCACACACACACACACACACACACACACACACACACACACACACACACACACACACATATTTACACAACGCACAGGCAAGGTACTCTTTGTGTGTATGTAGGCGTCATATGTTAATGAACCTATGCATATTCATGTGACCTCAATAAAAGAGCAGTGTTACCAGGGAGCGGACAAGAGAAACTGGGGTCAAGCGAAGCAACGGCGTTTGTCCAGTTCTCTCCCGTGCACGAGAAACATAAAGAACTTTGCCTACTCGTGTCTTGCTTTGCTGTGTAATTACATTGTCTTCAACGTTCCAGCGAATAGGTTTAAGCTACAAACCTATCACACATTCTTCCTCCTGTTTCAGAGGATCGACTAACGGATGGACTCTCCTTTACAGCACCCTGGCATAGACCTTCCCAGGGAGACTGAGGAGTATGACCCCCAATAGTTGGAACACACCCTCCAGTCCCCTATTTAAAGATGGAACCACCACACTGACTTGCCAATCCAGGGTTACTGCCACTGATCTCCACGCAACATTGCAAACCCATATCAGCCAGGACAACCCTAAAACATCCAGAGCCTTCAGGAACTCAGGGTGGACCTCATCCACCCCAGGGGCTCTGCAACCAAGGAGTTGTTTAACTGCCTCAGTGACCTCATGCCTGAAAATTGGCAGGTCATTCCGCCCGACAATTTTCTCAGTCAAAGTCTGCAGCGCTCCACCAGCACTCTACACAGTGCAGGTGGAGCACTGATTTCCCCTCCTGAGTCGACTGACGGTTTGCCAGAATCTCTTCGAGACAGTTGGAAAGTCTTCCATAGCCTCTCTGAACTCCTCCCACACAAGAGTTTTTGCTTCAGCCACTGCCGGAGCCACATTCCACTTGGCCTTTTAGTACCTATCAGCTGCTTCCAAAGTCCCACAGGCTAACCAAGCCCAATAGGACCCCTTTTAATCCTGGGTCCTCCCTTCACCTCTAGTGTCCACCATTTGGTTCCGGGGTTACCACCACGACAGGCACCAACCACTTTGCCGGTGCAGCTCAGTGCTGAACCTGAACTGGTTCACTAAAGAAGTGGACATTGCTAAACATCAGCGCTCTGATGCATGTCCTGCGCCTAACTGCTTCAAGTCCTCTACCTCTACCTCTACCTGTCCCCAAGAAACCTAGGATCACTGGACTAAATGACTACAGACCTGTGGCTCTGACATCTGTGGTCATGAAGTCATTTGAGCGCCTGGTTCTCTCC